TTATCCACAAAGCCAGTCAGCTAATTTTAAAAGGCTGTTCTTAGTTAAACACGACTTCCCTGTTGCAAATCCATACTGACTGACTTCAGTCACTTCCTCATCCTTCCAATGTTTAGAAATAGTTTCCCAGCTTAGTTGCTCCATCAGCTACTGTTATAATGTACACAGAGAAAACTCACCCTGCGTCTTGTGAAATTTATGATGAAGCTGCAAGTGAGTTTTCAAGGAAATATTTTGAGTCTGTGATTTTGCTACCAGCATATAACATCAAAAGTCTGGTACCGGTATAAATACAAACAATAAAAAAATTTATAAGTCAACATCATGTCCAGATCTGAAAAGAATGTGAACTTAAACATAACACAGAAAAACTGATGCAAAATCAATATTTAATATGTAACCCTGTACAGATATCTTGAAAGTCCTATTCTCCTTCATGAGACTTACTTAAGCTTAAGTAATTAAATCAAAACACATTTAACACATTCACATATTTTTAAAATTTCCTGTAGATCCTATACAATTTCACCACATTACTTCTATGTGGAGCTCAATAATCAGCATTTGTTAAAATGGTAATTTCCTGTTTACTACAGCTTTAGTTGCTTATGAGGATGGTGCAGATAATCACACAAAGGGCTTGGAGTGTAGTGGTATATCAGACAAAAGAGTAGTACTGGCCTACCTTAATGGCATAGTTAGTGTGATGAGCTTCAAAAAGGTGGAGATTTTGCCAAACCTTTAGGATAAATGTACTTTAAGATTAATTTTGAATTCTTCAGTGTGGAGGAACATCAGAGTGACTGGGAGAGATTCAGAGCCTGGAGAGACTTATATGGAGCCTGAAGAAGCTAACAATCCATGGACTTTCATGTTATTCCCCAGTTTTATACCATGTTTAATGAACCCTCATGCATGTTTTTGTATTGATCCCCTTGGTTTGTATTGCCCCGAACATGTCTGTACTTGCCTTTAAGTTTTCCTGCCAAAAGTTGTTTACCACCTTGTCCTCCCCTGCTTTCCCGCTCATCCCACACTGATTGACTGATGGGTGCCGCAGTGCGGAGTGAGCTCCCATTGGTCCCCTTCCCCTAGATACTCCCAGATTCCTCCCACCTTTCCCTCATTCCCCAATCCCGTATTTCTCTGACATGTCAATCCCATACTTCACCCTGGTTTCCAGACCTCTCCTCATCCAAACCCTATGTAAGTCCTTGTTCCCCTCAATAAACTGGCCATTGCACCCTGACCTTCTACCATGTCAGAGCCCTCTGTGCAGTGTCACGTCCCTATTCCTTTCTCCTCCGGGCCGTGGCACTTCAGTAATCCACACTTGTCCCTCCAATACCAGTCTCAAAATATGTTCTCAAAATATGTTCTCAAAAATAAACACAAAATTCTAATTGTTGTTCTTTGCATATGACAGAATAGTTTGCATAATTATCCTTCAGGATGATCATTTATCTCTCATTTGAGATGTTAGAAGCAAATATAAAAAAGTTTTATTATTATTAAGCAGTGTTGGGTTTTATTCTTACCAAAGGTTTCTTGTATGAATTATTTGTAATTGTAATTGTAAGAACAGTCAAGTGCGAGAGCAGCGCGTTCACTATCTAACCTGTGTTATTAATACAGTGGTTTAAAGTGATAAATTTTACTGCATTAATTCAAAAAGTAATGAGTGAAATAAAATCATATTATGCAATAGTTTTAAACAATACATAAATAACTGAACAACTTAAGAGATGTGCCAAGGGTCTGACCAAGTAAAAGTCTGTGTCACCTTTAAAGTCTTGAAAGCACAGAGATCTAATGAAAAAAAAAACAAACAAAAAAAACCCCCAAAAAAACAGCAAAACAAAACCCCAAAAAAGATGCTGAAATTCATTGAAAAAATTTATTTCCTTGTGGTCTTTTCCAAGAACTTTTCCTTGTGGTCTTTTCCACTTTAATTAACCTAAAAGTGGTACTGTAAAACAATGATGTCAGAGAGTCTCTGCACTGTTGTTTGCTTGAGTTATGTTTTCGGAGGTTTTCCTGGGTTAATGATCTGTTGTAAGGAAACAAAATATCTGCGCAAAGGACCAACATAGCAACACAATCTTTTCAGGTATTCTCAACACAAATCACAAACTACTCTTTCATGTTGTTGACCTGTTCCAAGTAGGTATTTCATAAGCTAGAGGTCCCCAGGCAGCTAAAGATTTACTTTTACAGACTGAACAGCTTTAAAGTTATCAACCCTGTTGTCCAAAGTCAGCAGATAGAGCCTTTGGTAAAACAGCATGTCTTCCAAAACATTTTTTAAAAAGCATTGCAAGTACAAAATTATTAAAGCAACCCAGTATGTTCAGAGGTTGATCTAAGTTTGCCAGCAAAAGCTTCTCTCTTTCTTAACATCACCTGGGCTAAGGAAGCAAAAATTACAGTGCTTCAGGATGAGAAACCCTTTGTTCTTCACTGTGAGCTTTACAAGTGTTTTTGTCTTATCCTCTCTAGTTTCAGTGAAATGTTGAGGCTCAGGTAGGTTGGAATGGATGATACAGCAAGGAGAACAAACCCAATGTTTTGAAAAGGTATAAGGATAACCTGAGCAATAGAAATAATAATATGACTAGTAACTTGTTTAAAATAGTTTTGTTTGTTTGACTTGGCTGCCAGGAGGTAAATCACTACCTATTTAGTTTTTATTTTGTTTTGGTTAGTTTTTCAACAATCAGTGAAGATGGCAAGATGGTATAGCTCATCACAACCATTTAAAATTCAAATTTCACCAATATAAAGAGAAATATTCTGCACAGACTAAATCTCAGAATAATACTGGAAAATTCTTGTAGAGTATAGCCCAGCTTAACCACTGATTTTCTGAAAGAAATAATGAACTTCAAGTTATGATGGCCTTCTAAGCTTTTTCTCCAGCACTCTTTTAATTGATAATTACTTTAACAAAATAAATAACATGTAAGATAAAACATTAAAAAAAATCCAAATCATTTCAGGATAGATTGAAATTAAAAATTTCCATTTTTACTATAAAAAATAATACGTTTAAATTTGCAAGGTACTGATCCAAAGTGACCTCTTCAAAGGCTCCCTAACATTAAATTTAGTCAGGGTTTGAACCCACGTTATTTCCAGTTTACCTAAAACAAACACAATGAAGCATAAAATGTATAATGTAGTTATAATGAAGAAAAACAACGGTAGTCTATTTGTGTAATAGAAACAGAATTGAAACTAGATAAAGGAACAAGGAAAAAATAATACCCTACATCTCATTGTGTGCACAAAGTGCTCCTTTCACCTGCAAAGAGTAGGTTTCAGGTTGTTTTGTTTCTTTTAACATCAGTGATATATTTTTGCTGCCTTGATAAAAAATCTGCTCAATGCTTGCCTAATGACAAGTCTATAAAATATCACAGTTTCCACTTTCCTAGAGATAGTTGATCTCTGCTGAGTTTGCAATGTGCATAAATCCAGTGCACACAGCAAAATCCAGTATATTTCAGATTTTCATAGCTTCTTTATTTGCCTTTTCTGCCTACACAAAAATGTTTTTTCTTCACAGCACCTGGGAAATTTTCTCACTTTACTAACAGCCAACTAAACTGGACAAACAACATAATGTTAGTTTCCCACTCACTTTGGACTAGAATATGGCATTAACTTCACGACAGAGACTGTATTTTTCAGGTACTCTCACTACTTCAACTATTACCACCTTTGTTATGCACGCTATGTGTAAAGTAAAAAGTAATTTTCATTAAAGTGAAGGAAGAGGAAGGAGTACTGGACTGCTGTCAGGTATTGGTATAACTTCTTCTCCTACTTCAAATGAATCATAACTAGGAAGTTCTGGTCCTACTGTCAGACACAGTCATTGTGATTATATCTGGAAATTGTTGCATGGAGTTTTGAGTATTATTATAACTTAAAATACTCAACGCCAAAATACATTAGCAGAAAATACAACAAAGTCTTTTAGTTTTTGCTGAAGCTGAAAGTTTGTTGCAAATTAATGTAATGCAAAAGAGAGAAGGAAGCTTCATAGCTGAGATGACTAAATGATGCTTGAATGATTGGATTCAATGTAAACTACAGCAACCATTTGTGCAATTCTACCAAAACAGCACAATCTTTTTGCTTTGTAACAAGCAAGTTATACCTGTGTAACAAGCAAGTTATACCACACTTTATACCTGTGGTCACTAAATGCATGCAGGACTTGTGCTTTCACAACTGAAAGCATTTCATCTGATGAAAAAAAATTCCCCCCAAAATAAAATTAAATGGGTGTTTTTCTTTTCAATACAGCTGAAAATCAAGTAGAAAACTTCCAGACTTTGTTTTGTCTGTGCTTCAGTTTTCCATTTGGTTACTGAAATCCTCATCTATAATAGAGGAATTATATCATTACAAATACTCGTGACATGACACAGCAGTTTATGAAAAAAAGAATAATTTTATCTTCAGTTAAGGTCAGAACATTATGCTTTAATCTGCCCTTTGAAATAAAAGGATGCTGATTTTGGCTGGGTAAAAGTAAATTTTCTTCACAGCAGCTCGTAGTGGGCTATGTTTTGGATTTGTGCTGGAAAGTGAACTTGATCATACAGAGGTGTTTTTGTTATCGCTGAGTAGTGCTTGCACAGCATAAAGGTCTTTTCTGCCTCTCATGTTGCCACATTGGAAAAGGGGCTGGAGGTGTATGGGAAGTTGCACGGGAAACAGTTTGGAGAGCTGATCCCAGCTGACCCAAGGGACATTCCGTACAACTCATTGTGCTCAGCACATAAAACTGGAGAAAGAAGAAGGAGAAAGTGGGGGGAAGTTTTGAGTGATGGTGTTTGTCTTCTCAAAATAACATTAAGCATGATGGAGCCCAGCTGTCCTGGAGAAGGCTGAACACCTCTCTGACCATGGGAAGTGGTGAATTAATTTCTCGTCTTATTTTCTTTTTCCTTTACCTGCTAAACTGTCTTTATCTCAAACCAAGAGTTCTCTCACTTTCACTCTTCTGATTCTGTCCCTCATTCTATCAGGGGAAAGTGAGCAAGTGGCTGTGTGGTACTTGGTTGACAGCTGCACTTAAACTACAACAAAGGGAAAAATGAAGCATTGGTTAACTGAGAGGTATGCATTGCATGTCTACAGTATAACTCACATAAAAGATCCAAAACTGGAAGTCTGTTTTCTGGTCTAGTGCACTCTACTGTGTGGCCTAAAGTCCTAATGTCATCAACATTCATATCTTCTGAACTGTTTTTCAACTAATCTTCTAACAGTGTGCACCTTTGCAAGAAGTCAAGGCACTCAGAGATGACAGATAGAGGTAGATAGATAGATTAGATAGATAGATAGATAGATAGATAGATAGATAGATAGATAGATAGATAGATAGATAGATAGATGATGGATGGATCGATAGATAGATAGATAGATAGGTAGATAGACATATATAAAACACTGTAGGAACATAACCACATGGTAGGGCAGGACAACATCACTTCTGTAACAATGTGATTAAAAGAATATACCATCTCTTATTGTCTTGGAGCTTAATAAAATTTAGATAGCAAAGCTATTTTTTACTTTTCTTAATGAATGACTGAGGCTTAGCCATATTTGAGGATGCTTCTGACCACAATACCTATGATTAATGCAGTGGATATGAAGTGGTATCCATTAGCTCCTTTTTTTTCTCTGTCAGTTTTGGTTTTATCCTAGACTTCAGGATGTTCCGCATTCTACATCCTTTGATGACAATGAGAATTTTGATTTTGACTGTAATGGGGTTGCATCTGAAATTATCAGGCTATTTTAATTATTTCTCAATCAGTGAGACTGAATTTATAGAATCATAGAATCATTAAGATCAGAAAAGACCTCCAAGATCATCAAGTCCAACCTTTGACTGAAACCACCTTGTCATCTAGATCACAGCAATAAGTGCCACGTTCCATCAATTCTTGAACACTTCAAGGGATAGTGACTCCACCACTTCATTTGGCAGCCCATTCCAATTCTTAAGCACCCTTTCGGTAAAGAAATTCTTTCCAATGTTCAACCTGAACTTCCCAGGTTCAGGGAAATTGGCCTCAACAGATTGAGGCCATTTCTTCTCATCCTGTCACCTGTTACCTGGGAAAAGAGGCTGACTCCTACTTGGCTATGACCTTTTTTCAGGTAGCTGTAGAGGGCAATAAGGTCTCTCCTGAGTCTTCTTTTCTCCAGTCTAAACAATCCCAGCTCCCTCAGCTGCTCCTCATAAGACCTGTGCTTCAGACCCTTCACCAGCCCTATTGCCCTTCTCTGGACACACTCCAGCACCTCAATATCTTGTAGTGAAGGGCTCAGAACTCTACCCAGTATTTGAGGTGCAGCCTCACCAATGCCAAGTACGGAGGGAACAATCCTGGTCCTGATGACCACATTATTGCTGACACAAGCAAGGATGCCATTGGTCTTCTTGGGCACTTGATCATTCACTGGCTCATGTTCAACTGCTGTCAACCAGCACCCCCAGGTCATTTTCCTCTGGACCACGTTTTCAGCTACTCTGCCCCCAGCCTGTAGCTCTGCATGGGGTTGTTGTGACCTAAGTGCAAAACCTGGCACTTTGCTTTATTGAACTTCATACAATTGGCCTCATCCCATTGATCCAACCTATACAAATCAAAGTCTCTGTCCAGATCAAAGGACTGTCTATTTATAGGCTCTCTTCCCAGTTTCCTTCAAACGTATGTCTTTAAATAAGAGACTTATTTATGTGTTGCTGACTCATGCTTTCAAAATGCAGTGAGTTAGTAAAATTTTCTAAAGAAATTATCCAAGTGCAAAATATAGTTAACTTCTGCTAAGCGCATTATGAATAGGGCTTCAGGGTGGGGAAATAAATTCTTTCCAAGGACTTGAGTCATTAAGCTGAGCATGTTCAATACTTAAGCGTACATTTCTAGTAACAATATTCATTTTGTTGGGAAATTCTCACTAATTTGTGGATCATCTTTGCACAAAAAGCAGCCACACTGCAAATTGTAAGTGCTCGTAAATATTGCTCAACTGCAAACAAAGCTCTCACAAGGAAAAAATAGTATAAGTTGTCAAATTCTGACTTTTAAAATTTTTTAAATTAATAGAGTTTTTGAAGCTGTCTCCTGCAGGAAAAGTCATACACCCAAATCAGCTCCTATTCTTGGTAACTCCCTCAGTTTATATAGCGGGCATGACAGATGACTAGATTTAACTCTTGGTTTTGTGAAATAATATGGATGCATTTTATTCATGAGTATGTGCACTAGTCAGGAAAATACCCAGGAAAAGGAGATTGCCTTTCTTTCTGGATTACCTGCAGATGTACTGGGCCTGTGGGCAGCTTGTCCTTCCACTTCTTAGGCACTATCTGTCCAAGTCCTTAGGAGACCTTCACAGATAATATCTTAGAGCAGCCAATTCTACACTTTAAGTCTGGAAAGGTGTTAGATCCACAAACATCATGATTTACACCGTAAGTCTGGCCACATTTGCCATCCCAGGTGCACAAATAGTGTGGGTTACACTGTAAGTCTGGGAGCATTCAACAAGATTCCAGATTTGCAAATGGTGAAATTTGTTGATTACTGTGACAGAATAAGGTTCAGAAAAATGCTGCTGATAAATACACTGATATCAGAAAGCATAAGCAATAGTATTACTGCAGGATAAAGCTTACCTGATAGGTGTTCCTATGGGGAAGAGATGGGTACAGCCCTTTGTCCAAGGATGCAAAAGTGGAGTCTCCTCTGATTCCAGTCCCCTCTTTGGTTATATTCATATTATTTTCTTTGAGGATGAGGAAAAGATAAAATTTCACTTGATGTCATTCATGATCAGGTGGAGTTTGAGTGACTTAGATCTGTATGTAAAACATGTACAGGTTTTAATTCATTAGCATAGGCAGACACTTGAAAAGTAAAATGTATTGTCAAGTTAATGATTCATAGTTCAACTTTCAGTTATCATTTGGGTCATTCCTTTGTCTTAGTTCCTCTAACATGCACTGTTCTAAAAAGAGCGTGACCATAACAGCTCCATGCTGTTCTGTTCTTTGTTTCATGACTCTTTTAGGGCAGCACACGAAGCTAACTCAGTGTTCCTACTCCTAAGGTGTGCACACAGGTTGTCCCTGGTGAATTATTGCCAATAAAGGTGCTTCTACGTTGAGCTTTGTCTCTCCACAGCACATTTTTTCAGCACAACAGGGTAAAAAGAAAAAATCAAGATGTGACAACATACCTGTTAAGTATAGATGGCTGAAAGAACGTCTTTGTGAAAACTTCCTGTATGAGGTAGTTAAATATTACATTTTTCCATTTTTAAACAAAAAAAACCAAACAAAACCCAAAATGAAACAAACAAAAAAAACCCCAACCAAAAAAAACCCAATGAAAAACCCAAAACTAAACCAAACAAAAAAAATTGGGTTACATTTATCTTTATTAGCTTCTCTGCTAAATCTCTGATGCTCAGGAGAAGCATCCTGAGGCAAAAATGTCATATTCTAAAAATCACTCTTCAATTCAGGAAAATCAAAGCCTATGAGATATAAACATTTACCACAATAAAAATGTAATCCATGTTGCTTGTTTGCCCTGGAAAATCATTTGCATTTTATTCTCTTATTTCTAAGTCAGAGAAAACAGCAAACAGCTGACAGTGTGTGGGATGTGACTGGAATCATATTATAACAGAGAAATACGAGATAATGTATGAGAAAAATACAATATGTTTACTTTCTATCTCTTTTTTTTTACTTTCTAACCTTTTTAAGGGGACAAATTCTGAAATATTAAATACATTTTAGTTCCCTACCTGCTGAAGTTAATTCAGGTAAATAGTAAAATCAGATTGTTGAACCTTAGTTATGTGCTTTTTGGATCTGAAGGAAGTCAGGGAATCTCATTAATGTAGAACTCTGTCCTTGAGATGTGATATGACAAAAATGAGCTAGACTCTTAGATTACTTGCAAACTAAGTCTGATTTGCTGTTACTTTACCAAAGCAATTTTGTTCTTATTACATTAATGGATGCAACTTTGCAAACTCGGTGAGGTCTTGAGTACATGTGATGTGCACGATGGAGCCAATGATCGGAATTCAATAATTTGAGACACTTCAAAATCAGAAGGTTAAAGCAATACATTCAGTTGTTCATTTACGTTCAACCTGTTTCCTTTAAGGATGGAATCTTCATCAGCTACTCTTTTTATGTAAAAATGCCACTGCTATCAAAGGCATTTGTCCTCTCTTCTTATCTAATACTGGATAACGCTGAGTGAGGTAATTACAAATTCAATAAAATTTTAAGGGCAATTACACTCTTCACAAGAGGCTCAAGTTCTTATGAATCTTAAATAACTGCAAAATCATTCTTAAAGACTAAATTTTTATACCATCATTATTCTTAAAATGGCAAATGTTGGACAAAAACTCCAGAAATATATCTCTGCACAGCACTCAGTCTTCCAGAACAGAACTTCATGCTGGCAGCATGTCAGTTTCCTACCCAATATTTTGTACTTGTTAGATGGCTGTTAGAAGCCATTACCAAGGTTTTGTCTAAAGTAGTTCTTTGGAAAAAATAATCCTCTATAAAAAAATGGCAAATATTGAAATAAATAAACCCTGGAAGATATTTTCTAATGCCATAATCTAAATAACAGACATGGTTCTAATTTCAGTTGTTAAATACTGAAAATAGTTTTCACTAAAACTCAGAAAAAAAAGAAAGCAACCTCTTTTTCTTACAAAAAATTCTGCAAGACACTTTGCTTTGGTTTTGTTCATAAGTTCTGGACACAACACCATTTTTTCAGCTCCACTATAGAGACAATTTTTAACTTGAACCTGACTCTTGAATTGTCTGATGTAGGCTAGACACAACTCTTCTATAATTTTATGTTTGTTGGAGTTTGCTAGTGTTAAGTCTTACTTATTACTTTTATATTTTTATTCTTTGCTAGTCTCTTTAAAAGACTTTATTTTCCTTTGCATATTACCAATGCTTTTATTAACAATGTCAATGAAGTTTTTGAAAGGAGATGTTACCTGAGACCATATTGGAGAAGAGGTGCAATTTAAAAGTATGTTATAGAAGAGTTACCTATGAAAAAAGAGCAAGGGATTCTTGATCAATTTATTGGAATAAAGAAATAAAGAAATATTAAAATATGTTAAATGGACAAAAATAAGGACAAAATATTTCTAATACATGGCAGAGAGCTTGCCTATTGTTATGATCTGGTTATTAAAATTGCTAGAAATGCTTCTGTCTGAATTAAGGTACAAACGAGACCAAATGCCAAAACCAAGTTTTATTTATTGGTAAATGTGAGACAGAGAAAGATAGACAGAAAAATAGGAAAAGGGGGAGAGCAGGAAGGGAGGGGTAGAAGAAAGAAAGTGACAGAGAGATTAAAATAGAAAAAGTAGCCCAGCAGTGTCCCATCAGTCCGATTCTTCTGGTCTTGGTGGTGAGGGTTTCCCAAAAACATAGAGTCCAATGGATTAATATATGTTCAGGAGATGTCAGGCACCTCCCCTTTGAGGGGGGAAGCTTTGCAGTCTCTTGTAACAGATTTATTTCCTCACTTGGATCACATGCAGTCTTCTGGTGGTGGAAGGCCTCGGGAATGAACTAGGGAGATGCTTTGGGTATCTTTGATGGTTTATGATCCCTTCTCAACTATCTTTCATATGATGTCCCATGTGTACGTGGTCTTCCCAGGGCGGCAGGGGTTACTGCTTTGGTTTGGTGTGGAGAGATTTTACCATCACACACTTGAAACCCTTCTCTCTTGTCACCCCTTGTCCCCAGTTTGGGCTGATTCTTAACATCGATACATTCTTCTTTCTAAGCCGTGTGTAGTTCTCCTCAGACTCGAGATGATTAGACAATAGTCTTATCTGAAGTCTCCAGTCACAGTCGAAATTCCAGTCAGGAGGTATTGGGAGGAGATGGGTGCTTCAGTGGCCACAGACAGACTGTGCTTCCTTGCAGTTTGACAAAAAGTCTTTCTATGATTTTGACAATGTTTAAGACATTATCGACACTTTAGTCCATCACATATGTGTGCCTGCACACACGTGCATGTATGTGAGCATACATGTATGTACACATCTGTGACTTAAGGTGAAAGTGTCCCAGTGAGAGGGAAAACCTTTTCTTCAGTTGGAATGGTAATTAAAAATCAATAAGAAATGAAGGAAAAAATAACAGAGAGCCACAGCTGGGATCAGTGGATGTAAATGAGGGTCAGCTCCATGAAAATAAATAGCTGTATGAGTCAAATGTCTACATGGAATCAAACCACCAATCAGTTACAAACCAAAAGTGATATAACTATGGTTAGCAAAACATTGAATTTGGGTTAACATGCCCCAGGATTGGCAGGGACCACTACCTTGAGAGTCCTAAACTGGATCCTCTTGTAGTTCACGTGCAAACATGAAAGAAAGGACATAGAATCATAAATGATATAATAGTTTAGTTTGGAAAAGACCTTTCAAGTTCATATGGTACAACCCTCTTTCAATAAGTAGGAACACCTTCAACTAGATCAAGATGTCACCAGGGACACCATCTCTACACACTGTTTTACTCTATTTCTTCCACAGTTCAAGCCAATGAAAGGAACAGTAGCAATGGGCCTTTGACCAACAAAGAAAAACCCTTCCAGCCAAATCTACTCATCTTTTTAGGAGTCTGACTTAAAGTCTTCCTAAATCATGGGGAAATGTAGCTACCACTGACTTTTGTCAACACAAACACAAACTTCTGCCTGAGACAAATTTACTTCAACTGTACTTTTGCCACATTGCGTTTTGAATTAATACAAACTTTGCTGACCAAAGTACACACTGCACCAAAACTTTCAAACTGATTATCTGAGATGATTAGGAGCAGCCAAATTTTGTACAGAAAATTCCATCAAGAATTCCTTTATTATGCAAAATAGAGAGAGAAATCTCATCTCATATGTGTGATCTATTTGATCAAGCAATGAAGTTTTAATGTTGAATATTCACAAAATCTGCAATGTAATTTATTTTATTTTATTTTACCTACTGGTCCACATTCTGCTGCATAAGGCCGAGATTCAAGAACAAAATGCCAACTCTCTAAATACTGCTGTGAAAAGCGAGTGACGCAGTTTTTCTGTAAGGGCAGGGATGTTCTAAGAGTAGAGAAAGAATACATGACCATATTTTTGGAAAGACTAATATAATTGTCACCATAGGATTTAGTCTAAATCTAGTACATTCCCCGAGGCTAGCAAAAAAATGAAAATACAAGCTTCCTGCCATTAAAAACCTAACCACTCTTTGAAGAGTTCAGTTAACTGAAGTCTCTCTTTACAAGTGTTACACTGTTGAAACAGCTAAGAATATCTTAGTGCTGCGTTTCATGTTGAAAGGAATTCAAACGAGGTACCAGACCAACCTCCTAGATAAATGGGCTTTTTGTCACCTTCTTTTATGTCACTTAGCAGTGAACTATCATTTCAATATTGTATATAATTCAGGTCATATCCCTTTGAAGTTTTATTTGCCTTCATTTTCTCCCTGAATATTTTAATTAATAAAGAAAAATTCACACCTTAATGAGTAGTCCAGATGACTCATGTTAGGATGGCAAAGAAAGAAGCTGTTCTACAATACATTACTTCACATGACAAAAGATCTTGTAGATGATCTAGAGGAATATGGTCTAACAGACAAAACCCCTGGATAGCTACATCAAGTTCAGTGATTACTTTCAATAAAGGCAAAGATATGAACACCAGGAAGGTGGAAGAACTGTTTAAACAAACTTATCAAAAGAGCAAAGTCATATACTACTCTAACTACAAATAGATCAGATAACTGTAAGAAAAACATTTCAAATTGCTAAAATTCAGAATGTCCTTGGAACAGAAATATGTAGGAAAGGAATGAAAAGACCTTGAAGGTTTACAGACTGAATTAACTTGTTGGCTGTAACTACTGATGGGGGTCTCATGATAGACAATGAATGAATTTTCTGTTTCAGTAGGTACTTCCTCATGCTTCCTTTTTTTTTTTTTTAAATGGTTTCTGAGATATTTTTAATGTAGAGTCGAATCCGTATTTAGTTCCTTGACTGGGTCTGTAAGCAGAATACTATACAAGTAACCCGTCCTCCTCATGCTATGACATCACTATTCCAGATAATGAGGCACTGAGAAACAGAATATAGATTGCTGTGGCTTGGAGAGTGTATAGGAAGGATATACATCAAAGTAGGACTAATGTGACACTATCATCAGCATGTTTTCTTCAAATAGATGTTTATTTTGGTACACTTTTGCAAAAAGACAACTATGAACTAACTGAAATGAGTGGTGATATAAATACAGAGATGAATTAAAGTTTGTTTTTCTAGACTAAAGTGAATAGATGACACATACATTACAGAACAGATTTTAGTAAAATAAGGTGACTAAATAGTTCACTGCTAATAGTACCTACTGTATAGAAAACATAAAATGTCTGGGGTGAGCATCACTAGGAAACCGGTAATTTTTATATAAAATCTCATTCCCAAGCTACCCGACTGAAATTTGGTTGTGCCAAGATGGACAAATATGCCACCAAGTGTGGTCGTGGAAATCTCATAAATAGGTAAGTCTTTCAGACATCTCAGGATGCATCAAAAGTTACACTACAGCGTGCACTGTCAAGTAGTTAAGTCACTAAATTTTTCACAAGCGTGAATCACTGTTGCTTAGATTTTGTACATTGACTTTTAAAGCCGGTCAATGTTACTGGTGATGGATGAAGTTTGGCACGGAGAAGATGTAGTCTTTAGCGGAAACATTGCTAGAAAACTGTATAAAATCAATACATATATTCTAAAAGTTATGGTCCCCCACTCAGTTGTGCACTGAACTTTAACTGATGGGAATCAAACACTGGTCTTCACCAACAGATGATGCACAGTAAGTTTCTCAAGCATGAGATCACTAATTGCCAATTTATTCTTATTTGTAAGGAAAACATTATATATTTTGAGACAGAGATGTATTTTCCTATTTTAGTCCATTAAGCTTGTTATATACTCACAAACAGAATTTGCTGGAGCTGTGTCAAATGATTGAAGTGGTGTTGCAACAGGGGTGGCAAAGAGGAAAGAACTCTCCCCCTCCACTCTGCACTCTTTAGACCACAGGTAGTGGTCCAGTTTGGGAGAGTAATAAAAGAGAAACATCAAGCAAACTGACTAAGCTCTGCAGAAGGGCATCATGTTCGTCAGAGCTGGAGCCTTGAGGAGAGTCTGGAGCACTAGGGCAAGTTCAGCCTAAAAGTAATTATGGGTAGAAAAAGGCTGACTTCCTGTATATATTACATCATGACAGTTGCACAAAAAAAATCAATATTGGGCCTTGCAACTGAAAAGAAATTGACAAAATGTGGTTTTGTGCATGTTCAATCAATACAAAACAATAAATTACTGAAGTCTTTTAAAATTTTCCCCTTTTCCAAACAGTTTAATGTTCCATTTCTATAATGATTGGATGATATCAAACTCATTCTTTTGTTCTCTTGTTTTATGAACACACTGATATCAGCTATTTCTTCTAAGTTTGATTGTCTTATCAATTCACACTAATTTAACTGATTTTCAGTTCAATAATAAGTTGAAAAAAATAAAGGATGGACAAAATTGTTTATTGCATTTTGTGAGGCTATTGTCTCTTTAAGTGCACCCTGTAATAGTTTTTGTTTTGATACAAATAAATCTGTTAAAAAGTCACTGAAGTGAAATAAATCTCTGCTATGGAGACGTATTGTTTGAGATTATGTTAAATTTTTTACCCTCTCTGGCCCCAACATACCAGGAGATGTAGTAATCATTCTATATAAACACAGTTAAAATGGTTAAATGTAAGTTGTTCTTAAAGAAAAAAAAAAAAAGAAAGAAAAAAAAGGAAAAAAAAAAGGAAAGAAAAAAGAAAAAAAAGAAAAAAATTAGCTAATCAGATTATTCTTCTCCTCTGTTTCTTCAAATTTTAAGTCAGGAATCCATTATTTTTATGGATCATCCGATGAAAATTCAATTTTTGAAATAAAAACAGGAAATAGGAAAAATATGTCACAAATATCAGCTTAGGAGACTAAGAGAAGTTGGGCCAATAGCTACTGTCATGGGTTAAGATTGACTCCCCCTGAGACTCTGGGGCTCAGAGGTGATTGGGTACCAGAGCAGTGTTCCCTGGAGAGCAAATCACCACTCCTCTTGTTCACTTCTGCTAAAAATCATATATATACAGCCACTGGAAGCTGCTGGCATATCTCACTGTTGGTGTCTGCTGTGTGTAGGTGTAGAAGGCCAGGGGGTGGCTGAGCTTCTTCTTCCCCCCTCCGGGGGGGGAGAGTGGAGCCCTGTGGCCCCCCAGCTCTGCCTAGGCCAGAGTTAGAGACAGCATTGGAGGGAGTGCATGTTTGTGAGGGACGCGACTCACAAACAACTGAAATAAAAATAATAGCAGTATTTTCCACAAAATTTCAGTAGAAGATCAGTGGATTTTATATGAAGTGTATCCTTCAAGACTGTCTTCTAGTTCCGTTTCCTCTGAAAGGGACCAGGTTCATGCACTCAAGGCTGTGTTAAAATGCACAACAACGTGTAAAAGAGTTATCAGAAAATTGTTTAGGCAGGTGTATTCCTAATCAAATTACAATCTTAATGCATATGACTCACTCTTCTTGAAGCCAGTAGGATTATTTTTGTGTTTAAAACCATATATAAATCTTGTACTTTATTAGCCCTAGGCTTTATTTTATAAAGCTTCACAGGCAATTAATGACAAAAACTGAGTTATAACTAGGAACAATAATGAATGCCTTAAGAGCTACATTACAAAAAAAAAGAAATGCAAATTCTATCAGCACTCAGTATTTATTACGTGGGACATTTCTTCCATTTGTCTTTCCAATCTTGTCCAAACTGTTATTTTCTCATAAACTTTGACTTAGGTCATTAAACATATTTCTAATCCCGCTGGGACTTTTTCCTTCATGCACTTTTTCAAAGAAACCTGAATACATTATTAGGCTGATCTCCTATCAGCTGCTGATAAGGCCTGGCCTTCTGTCAACAGTGGAAAGAAAATTATTAAAAACCCTAACAGGAAACCTGTGATTCACTGTTTTTATGCCTGAAATCACACAGGGAAAAAATAGCAAATAGTGGCAAATTTCTGTCCAAGGTTGGATGTTTGCAACTTCAACACTTCCTAGATAGAAGGAAAATGCCATCTCTTTCCCCAGGCTGAGCAAAATGTTACACTACAGAGAAAGAAATGTTTATTTGTCATAACATTCCTCTTCCTTACCCAGACTGTCTTACCCAGAAAGTCATAGATGAAAGACATAAATTTCGGTTTTAGTATTCGATAATGAATTGTGTTTTAATGTGAAACACAAAATGTCCTTTGTATATTTCTAAAAACTACCTCTTGCAGACTGATATATTTCTTCTCTCAGTAAATGTCTCCATTCTTGAAGATGAAAGATACAAAAGCTAAAAATACAGATTTGTTTTTATAAACCTTCTTTTAAATAATGACATACAATTATTAAAATATCTACCTAGATAGCTTGTACAATAGTCTTTTTAAGTTGAAATACTGTCAATAAAATATATGCACGTCTCTCAAGGAGATATTTAGCACTTTCGTTTTAGGCACATGGTGTAAGGACTTAAAATATACAGTTGCCTGTCTCAAAGCAGTGTCAAGGCTGCAGAGGGAACTTGCCATAAGATAAACCACCACAGTGGGAACTTCAGATAAGCACAGAAGGAAGGAATTTGCAACAGGAATGTGCTAATTCCAAGCCTGAGGGAGGTAAGGTCTGGTTAGCACATCCTGGTTAATGCACCTGGACAAAAATTCCAATTGTGGCAAGCTGCGGGAAAGGAAGCAACTGCTGTTACACATTGAACCCAAACTATGTGAACATTGGAGACCACCCCATGGATACCTGGAACTTGGACTCTATAAAGGTAGTACCACCAGAAGAATGACCTGGGGACCCTCACTACCCAGAAGCCCAGGGTGAAGAAGGACCAAGGGAATGCCACTGGATCTGTGGGTGGTGATTATCATCTGCTTGATCTCTTTCTCCTTCTTTCTCTGTCTCTCTCTGTCTGTCTCTGTCTCTCTCTCTCTCCCTCTCTCCCTCACAAACTTTTTCCTATTTCTTTCTATCTCTCTACCAGACATTTACTGTTACATAAAATCCATGTTATTCACTTTGGCATATGGTCTCACTTGCACCTTAATTCAGACAGAGGCATCTCTCCATAATCAGATCATAACACATGGAAACATCTATAAAAAATGAGGACACCTTTTCAGTAGTGTAGTAATCATCATATAGCTCTGCCTAGAGCAAAGTTTTGAGTCCAGAGGGTGGATGTGCCAAGAGTCAGAAACATTTGTTACTTCACTTTTGCCCTGATTTGAAGTTCTGATGCGAATAAAAGACATATCATGCAACTGAGCATGGGAAAATTGAGACATCTAAGGATTCCCCACTGCATATGTGTTCCAGCTGTGCCAAGGGTGAGCTAACACCTTACTACAATGGAGCCGATGGAATGTTATCATATTGATCATGCTGCCACCGCTACTGCTAAACAGGTTTTGGAGTAAGTGCTCTTTTAACTTCTACTAATAGCAGTTTCTCCTGCCCAACTGAAATACTCACAAATGGTGAGAAAAAATAGATTTTTTAATCTAAAATAGCTATATAACCCAATTTAATAACCTGAAAACAAACTCTAAAAAAAACCTAAAAATTCAGTTTTGAAGGAGCAAAACGATCCTTCGGGTGCTATTTCAGTTGTATATGGTTCATACCAAGCTCAGCTTAAGATCATTGTGTTAAGGTGGCAAGATCAAGACCATCAGCGCAATACGGGTTGTTTTTATTATATTCAGGAGAACCCTTAAGTTTTTCATAGCAGTTAAAATTGTAATATCATGCATTAATTCATGAACACCATTGTTCAAAGTTTTCCAAAGCATCGGCAAAGTGTTTTTAAAATATCCTGATGTAACTTTACTAAAGTTGGAAGATGAAAGACCAAACTCAGGAAAACTCTCCTTTTTTTTCCTGGCATGTTCATGCATGGACATTAATACTGCTGTCCTCAAAGATATTTTGAAATTTATTCCAATTACTCAACCCACATTTGAGATATCTGTGGAATTCTTGGAGGTAAAAGACTGATTGTCTAATGGAATTCTTTTTTCTAATCTACAAGTAAAAAATGTGAATGTACTTCATTAGCTACTGCTCAATGAATGTCATTATATTTCAAGAACTTTGATTCTACATATGACAAAACAATATTAAATATTCATATACACACAAAAAAGGAAGAGATGACACAGGTCCCCAGCACTTGTTAGTGTAGTTCTGACATCACACCACATATATACATGAATTAATGCATATTTTTGGTTACTATAAACTGATATCTAAATGAAGAAAATATTAATTCTGCTCATAGAAGTAGCACTTTCAGGAAGGAAAAGAAAAAACAGAAATGCTCTACAAACAAAGTACAAAAATGAGAAACTAATCAATTCTTTAAAATATAAGACACTGTATATAATTTAGCTTATAGAAAGGTGGTCATGGTCTCCTCCACTAACATTGTTCACATATGTGATGTTTCTTTTATCTGTGGAGTTAAAAATTTTAAAAAAATCCAAGTTGAGCAGGTTAATTACGATTAATTTACACAGGTCCAGTTTTAAGTTTTCAGAAGGGAAAAAAAACAGCATAAGTAGTAGGCAACTAATTTCAATATCACCTTGTCTTTTCTGCTACTCTTTTCCATCTAGTCAAGAAACCTCATGTAGGTATGATGCAGTTTCATTGGCATATAGTTGTAGAGAGAAAATTAAATTTCCGTTACAGTAACCTTGATAGCAAGATGAGATCAAGCAAAAACATCACAGAATCAGAGAATATGTCAAGTTGGAAGGGACCCACAAGGATCATGGAGTTCAACTCCTGGCCCTGCACAGGATCATCCCCAAGAGTCACACCATGTGCCTGAGAGTATCATCCAAAACTTCTTGAACTCTGTCAGGCTTGGTGCTGTGACAACTTCCCTGAGGAGCCTGTTCCAGTGCCCAACCACCCTCTGGGTAAAAGAACCTTTTTCTAATACCCAGCCTAAATGTCCCCAGACAAAACTTCAGGCCATTCCCTCAGGTCCTGTCACTGGTCAGCACAGGGAAGAGATCAGTGCCTGCCCCTCCTCTTCCCCTCACAAGGACATTGTAGACTGCAATAAGGTTTCCCCTCAGTCTCCTCCAGGCTGAACAGGTCAAGCAACCTGAGATGCTCCTCATACAGCTTCCCCTCAAGGCCCTTCACCATCTTCATAGCCCCTCCTTTGAACACCCTCTAGTAGCTCTAGATCCTTCTTATATTGTGGTGCCCAAAAATGCACACAATATTCAAGGTGAGACTGCCCCAGTGCAGAGCAGAGTGGAACAATCCCCTCCATCAACCCGCTAGCGATGCTTTGCCTGATGTCCCACAGGACACAGTTGGCCCTTCTGGCTGCCAGGGCACTGCTGACTCATATTCAACTTGCCATTGACCAGGACCCCCAGGTCCCTTTCCATGGCACTGCTTTCCAGCATCTCATTCTCCAGTCTGTACAGATGTCCAGAGTTGCCCCATCCCAGATGCAGCATCTGACATTTCCATTGTTGACCTTCATACAGTTGGTAATTGCCCAGCCCTCTCATCTGTCAAGGTCTCTCTGCAGGGCCTGTCTGCCTTCGAGGGAGTCAACAGCTCCTCCCAGTTTTGTGTCACTTGCAAACTTGCTTAATATTCCTTCCTTGGTCCTGTATCTAAGTCATTTATGAAGATGTTCAAGAGCACAGGGCCTAAGATGGAACCCTGTGGAATCCCACTAGTGACAGTATGGTTTTTCCCCATTCACTATTCCCCTCTGTGCTCGACCCATGAGGCAGTGGCTCACCCACCAGATGATGTGTTTATCTAGGTGTGTTCTGGCCATTTTGTTCAGAAGGATCCTGTGAGAGACAGTATTGAAAGCTTTACTGAAATCCAAAAAGATTACATCAACTGGCTTCCCTTGATCAGCTAGGTGGGTGTCACATGAAAAAGGGCAGAAAAGATGAATTTTCTGTTCAATCTGTATTAATTTATTTTTTTGCTATCAGCATCCCCTACGAGATCAGAGCCTTTTAATGTCCAGAAGAGTCTGTTAGCATCTCACCTAGTGAGACCCTTCACTTAACAGATTCACCAACATGGACAGGATATTTGATACCTTTTCATATAAGGACTACACCAAATAGCAGTAGAAAAACCCCTCAGTAGGTTTTTCCTAGGAGTTATTTCACTGTTGGCAAAACTGTCAGCACTTAAAAACAGACTCACTCTAACAGTTCACAAAATAACATTTATTAATAGAAATTTGTGGTTATTTATGGGGTTCGCTTTGTCTGGAATAGTGTCTAACTGCAAAAACCCACACTTAAACTATGTAGCAATAATAATAATAATGCAAAACATAGGCACACAGGCTAAAGCAAAAAGCAACTTACAAATAAGTAAGAAAACTTACAAAGAATAAGTAAAGCAAAAACTTAAGCACCCACCCTAAAACAAAAGAACTACCAAAGAATAAGTAAAAATTTTAAAGTACTCTGGAGCAAAAGTAAAATTAGTATTTATGTATAAAGCAATTGCTTTATACCTTTTTTATACCTTTTTCTTTAGGCAGCTTGAATGGCTATAGTCAGTAAACCAATTTTGGGTTGATAGACAGATGAAATAGGCCCACGGATTGGCTTCCCAAGTTCCTGGTAACAAGGATTTTCATGAGAAAAGGCCATGTTATTTCCATATCACTTCTTCCTTCATTTTAATCCTTTTATCAGTTTCTAGGAATGTTTCCCCAGGTTTTCCAGGAAACCATCAGGAGCGTTTTTGTTCTTTCGTGTGGCCTTATCTATCGCCTTACAGTTGATGACCTTGTCATAAAAGGAAATCAGGTTTGATAAGCAGGACTTTCCTCTCATGAAGCTGTGCTGGCTGTGACCAGTGACTGTGTTGGCTTGCAGATATTTTTCAATACTTCCCAGAATAATCTTCCCATAACTTTACCAGGCCCTGAAGTGAGACTGACAGGCCTGTAATTTCCAGGGTCCTCTTTCTTGCCCTTCTTGAACATTCACCTGCTGCTAGTCAGCTGTCTACCACATGATTCAAAAGACTAAAATAACTAGCATTTGGTTATTTTCATTCCCTGTTAAACTAGAGCAGCTAATATTTTCTTTTCAGGAAAATGGCCAAAAAGCCATTAAACTCAAACACCAGTGAGACCCAAATGCTTGAAGCCACTTCAGACCAGAAAAACAGCAATTCAAAGCAAAATAAAAGCAGGACCTTTCTAGAAATATCTGAGAGGAAACCAGAGAGACACAGTTCTAGAGAGGTTAATCATCTGTTGCTCAGGCAGCTACACGCTTTAGCTGAATGCATTATTGTAAATTCCATTCCCGTCTGACTGTCTGAAATATACATTGTCTGCAAAAATGCCAAATGATGTGAGCTGAACTATCCCCACAAAAAATTAGTGTTCTGATTAATAAACTGCATTTCTAAAATACAGTTTTATCTAAATCTTAATCTGAAATTTCTGTCAGAAATCTAATCTATCCTCTCACAAAATTCTCTACTGAAACAATACATTTCAAAGTTTTGGCTTATTAGTCCTTTACAGAACAACTTTCCTATGCTAAAAGCAACTGCAATACTGAACTAGCACATGTTCGTTTACATGCCTGTGCTAATAGTGTGAAAAGAAAAATCAAAATAACAAGCCAGACTAAAAGGAGAGGAAACTTCTATAAAAATTAGTTTATAGAGAGAGTTCAGCTTTCAGAGTAGAAATAGCAGTAGTAGAAACTGCTTGGTATAAATACCTACTCATGTTATGAAATTATTTCATAGTGATTCTGTGATGGCAAGTTGACATTGAGATGAATAAGTTTGTTGCCTTAAGTATCCATTTTAAGAATATTCCTCTAATAGCTAATTTCAGTGCTAGAGGAGATAAAGGCTTTTTTACTACTCATTAACAAATGCTGAGGAAATTTCTGTTTCTTCTCATCTAGGTCTGATGCTACAACTACATTCTCCAGCAAATTCTGTCTAAAATAATTGTGACAGTTTATGATCTGATTCTTCTCCTGGAAGGATTAATGAAATGAAAGAGTCAGGCATCATAGAGTTTGGGGAATAAAGGTGATGAATAGGCATTTTTGAACAGAGCGGAGTCACTTATGGTTTTTCAACATCTATTTTATAACCCACAGGGGGAAATTATTCTAGCTTGAGTATCTAAA